TTTAGTTTGAAGTTTATTGGATTTACCTCTTTTAATTCAATCTAATCATCATCTTCATGTTCTTGCACTACGAGACATAAGTTGGCAATCTCCTCCTCTTCTTTATCCTCAGATGAACTATCCCCCCAAGCTGCAAAGGCCTTCTTCTTATTTGGTTTCTCCTTCTTCTCTTTTTCTTACTTCTTCTGCCAATGTAGACAATCTCATTTGGCATGCCTAGGTTTCTTGCATTCATAGCAAGTAAGAGGTTCTTTTTTTCCTCTTTATTATTGCTTAAGGATCCTGTTCTAAAATTTTTCTTCCCTTTGTAGAACTTTTTGAAGTGCCTTACTATCATGGCAAATTCTTCATTCTCATCAAATTCTTCATCTAATTCTTCTTATTTTTCAATAGCTTTTAAAGCAATCCTCTTTTTATTTTTGTTCATATCTTTATTATATTGTAAAATAGTGGATCCATGCTCTTCCAAACTCTAGAATAGTACAACTACTAAACGCATTGAAACATCTTGAGCTTCAATGATTGCTATGATCTTAAGCTACGATTCCATTGGAAGACTATTCAAAATTTTCTTTATTTGCTCTGCCTGAGTATAAGTCTTCTCTAAGTTCATCAAGTGGTTTATTATGTGTGTGAACCTAACATGCACTTCCTTAATGGTTTCTCCATCCTTCTTTTTAAATGTCTCATACTCATGTATGAGACTGCTCTTCCTATTCTTCTTGACTCTAATAGCTCCCCATGATCTTGCTTTAATGCATCCCACATTTCTTTTAGTGTTGTACAATGTGTGACATGATAGTACTCGACACAATTGAATGCACAAGCTATGTAAGCTTGTCTTTAGCATTGAGGTTGATGAGCCACTTATTTTCATCACTATATTCTTCTTTTATATTTTCTCTCATGAGTCCATCATCTCCAACCATCATAAGAATGTATCGACCCTCAATGACAATGTCCAACATTTATATATCGAGAATTTTCAAGTACATCATCATATGATTTTTCTAGAAAGGATAGTCCTCACCTTTGAAAGCAAGTGGTCTGGTGGTTGATAATCCTTCATTGAGATTCTCATCTGCAAAATTAGCCATTAGTAAGATCTTTAACTTTGACTGTTAAGTCAAATTTGAGCAACCAAGCTTTGATACCAATCATAAGGGGGTGAATTGGGCTAATTAAAGTTTAAAAAAATTAAGAAGATATAATTATAAGAAAGGAATGATATTACCAAATAAAGCTAAGTGAAGGCAAGAGAAGCTTTGCACAAAATTTTTATCTTAGTTTAGCTCTAACCACTTGAGCTTACGTGTAGTCTTCACGATATACTTGAGATTTTTAACTAACTCAACCAAGATCAATTCAAACTCTTGGTTGCTATAATACAATTTATATAGGCTCTTCCTTGAGTAAGTAACTCTCCCACTTACAAAGAGGATCTTAAATCCTCTTAAGCTCCCCAAGCTTAAGTAACTACCTCAAATGAGAAATTTCACCTATTTCAAATTTTCCACTTTTCATTTTGAGGATTCAAACCTAGTCCCTAAAGATTAAATACCAATAAGCCATTGTGTTTTTCTTATTATGTTCAGCCAAAATTAATAAAAATACATTTAAAATTCCTCATCATAAATTTTAAATTTTTACTTAAGATTTTGGGTCTTTACAATAATAGTAATATAATTAAAGAATTACGAAACAAATCAAAATTGCTAAACAAAAAAATTAAAAAGAATAAAGAAATAAAAAAGTATGATATATTTTAGTCTAATGAAAACATTTCTAACAGCTTATTCAAAATTACCATACCAAAAATTTTAATTTTAATGATTACCAAAAAAATTTAATTTTAGTAATAATTTTGTAGGTTGTTACAATATAATTAGTTACATACACATTAATAATAATCCCAAAAAATGGAATTTACCACATAAAGTCCCTAATTCCAACCAAATTTTCAACTCTCTGATTCAACTCCCAATTTCACACTCTAGTCTTAATTATAGTTATCTCTAAATTCAAACAACTCAATTAAATCCTCAAATGTTGGTAAAAAATTTCATCAATCAACAATTAAATTCTCATATTATACTACATTCTTAATTTCTTTAATTAATATCCGTCACTCAACATGACATCTTTGAAATTATTTATTAATTTCTCATTCATGTTTTCAAGCATATCAAATAAATCTCATAATTTCAAACAACTCATAAACTTTTATTCATTCTCAAATTACTTCCACAATCCACTAGAAGGCTTACAAATGTCCCAATTTTGTCAAAAAGCCCTTTTTAGATAAATAATCTCATGGATTTGAACAAAATATCTTTATTACCTAAAATTTTTAACCAAAAGAATTTCATAGCCAAATAATGTCTAGGTTACGCATATAAAAAATATTCAAAAAAATTTGCATTAATTCATCTATAAATAGAAAAAACAAACAACTTAAACTTGTGATTCAACCCCACGATCAATTTTTAACAAGTATTTCTAAGTTACCTATTATCAATTAACAAAGTTTTAAGCAATAATTAACTCCGAGAATCCAAATCCTCAATTTCTACTACTAGGGTTCCTCTAAAAATTCCCAAATTCCAATTCAAGTGCGAATAATAAATTATAAACAGATTAAATCTCAATTTCAACTCATATTATCACAACCCAGGCATTGAATTCAAATTTAAACAGTTAAAATGTCATTAATTACTTTAAACCTCTACTTCATTACAAGCCCTAATCTCAAATCCTCCAAACCAAACATTTGAACAAATCTAGACCCATTAAAACTTGATATAACCTGATTAATACATGTAAATACAAAGTAATCAGTTAGAGACCCAAGTTTTTCACTGTGAAGAAGTCCAGAAACAAAGTAGAAAATATACTTAAAAAAATATTTAAAATAGTTACCTAGTCTTAAAAAATTTAAGAACACCCTGAAAGTATCATATAATGAAGCCCTTGGAAATCTCCCTCAACCGAACGCACACCCAGTTTCGCGCGAAAGCTTCTATTTCTCTCCTCTCTGTCCGTTTTGGAAAATGAAATGTGGGAAGGGATGAGATTGTTTGCCATCTAATATTAGGTGGCATGATGGGCTGTAGGCTGTAGCCCATTGGTCTCAATCCAACCCCCAATCTTTGTTTTTCTTTTTTTTTTTTTTTTTTTTAAATCTCTCCGTTACCTTCTTATTTCTTTAAAATTCCATCTATATTTATATATATATATATATATATTTTCTTCAAAATTTAAAGGATTGAGTTAAATTTATGTATTTTTTTCAAATAAAATATTCATAATATTTAAATATTTATAACATGTTAATTTGAAAAAAATACTTTAAATAATTCTTTATCACGATTAACCATAATTATTTTTCTTGATTTTTTCAAAGCTCTAACTTAAAATTAAGTTTGCAAAAATTTAACCCATTTTGAGTAAATTTTCTTTATTCAAGTAATTCCATGGTAATTTCTCTTTACCTTAAAATTATTTTTTAATATGTCTTAAATTCTAAAAATAAAATTAGGATGTTATATTATGGATGATTCATTTAAATATTGAATATGTAAAATTATAGTTGTAAAATTATAATTATAAATTACTGATAAAGTAGTCTTAAATTACTTGATTGATATATGTAATATATTTTTATAGGGTTATTACTGTCTTTTCAATCCAATTTCAAATTATACTTAGATTCCAAGAGACTTGATTATAATTTTTAAATTTTATGAAACTTATTTGTAAATAAGTTTACTTCATGAGATGTATACATAATTTTTTATATGTTTAATATACTTTTATCCAATCAAATCAAAACAATAGGATTTTAATATATTAATAATAAAAAGAAATTTTCATAAAATAAATAATATATATAAATGAACCACATGTCCTTATTTAAGTGTATAAGTTTTCCATATCCAAACTAGGGTACAAAACAACGTTTCCTCACAAATTTTACTATATCCCTGACAAAGTGATCTATTTTTTTTTTTATTCAACTCTATTTCTGACGAATTAAATCCATGATATGAGATTGGAATGAAGAAAGGGGGGAAAGGTGTTGTATCACAGATTTACTCGCGTGAGAAAAATCCTCCTTATCAACACTATACTTGTGACCCGAGGACATATACTTCTTAGGCCCCACTACATTGACTAGGGAAATAGAACCAGTTTGGTTATATTGTCATTTAGAGAATATACTCAGAATATTATGTTGATCATCTTATGTTGGTTATAAGGCATCTTTAATTATCTCATTAAAATTAAGGAGAGTCAATTAAGTTATAAATTTTGTCTGAAAATATAATATACTTTCAATTTTACCCTTATTTAAATAAAAAAATTTCAAATTTATATTATATTATTTTTCATAGTTAATGAGTTTAGATAGGAGTAATGTTGAAAAAAGCATAATTCATACTCCATTAAGTGTTTTATATTAAGGATAAAAGAATAATTCTTCTAGAATGTGCCCTGTAATAGATATCGAAGGGAGTTTATATTAATCCATGATTAATTTAATCATATTTTGATTAATTAGACCCTTTAAATTACATTTGAGTAATTCATAGTTTATTTTAAATTAATTAGAAAATCAATATTTTAATAGGAATAAAATGTAAAATAAAAATGATTTTCTGATTAATGATTCATAAAAAGATGTTAAACTTCTTAAACATAAAAACAATTAATTAAAAAAATAAACCTCAACCATCCAAGGAAGATTTAAAAAAAAATTAAATATATAAATATATATAGCTATAAACGTAAATCTCGTGCAAAGTCATAATCGTTTGGTTGTAACTACTTCTTGTATGTGTTTTATATATAAGACAGAAAACAATGTAGATCTAGACTCATATGAAACTTCCTTTTCATATCATGGGCCATGACTAATTGATTGATGACCAAGACGATTCACTGCACTGCGCCAAAATATCATTTTGAAAGGTCAAAGTTGAATTCTCAAATTATGTCCACACATACACACAAGGTGTGTGTGTGTAATAACCAATTCTATTTTCAACCTCAACATCTTAATAAGAACATGGCGATCAAACTCAAACCCTTGGTGCAGTGTGTGGTGGCAGTGGCTGTGTTTGTGGTGATAGGGTTACTGGGTAGAATAGCTGAAGGGGTTGTGTTATGCAACACAGACACCACGAAGCTGAGCTTGTGTCGTCCAGCGGTCACCGGGCAACACCCGCCACCACCGGCAAAGGCGTGCTGCGCGGTTTGCCGGCATGCTGATCTGGCGTGCCTTTGCAAGTACAAGTCTGTGCTTCCTGCACTTGGGATTGACCCCAACAAGGCCATCGCTTTGCCTACTAAGTGTGGTCTCACCACCCCTCCACAATGTAAAGGTAACATATATAATCAATCCTTTAATTATTTTGACTCCTGACTTGTAAAAATTATAAAAAGAAGGAAAGAAAGAAAAATATAAAAAGAAACACATGAATCTGGGGAAAAATCATTTTCCTGTTCATATTGATATTGATTGATCAATTATGCAAGGAATTTTAGGATATATATAAAATTCAATTTACTTTAACTTTTTGCATTTAGATGGAGATTATTATTCAAATTGTATAACTATATCTAACAGCCACCACAACTCATTCCGTTTTTTTTTCCTTTCCTAATTCAGGTTTGGATGAGTTAATTATGGTTTTCATCTGCTCTGTTTTATCGTGTGTATTGATTATATATATACAAGCGATTTTTTTTTTAGCTTTTGATATATATATATATATATATATATTATATAAGTTAATTGAAAAGGAAGTTATTCACAACCCCTCCTAATATTTTAGATAAAATCAAAGGAACATATCTCCTAATGAAAACAAGTCAGTCTGTCAAAAGATTTTAAACTTATGCACAGCAAGCATTTTAAATAATATTATTGAATAATGTTGACTGTTGTTTTCTTTTTTCTTTTTGCAGGGAATTGAAGTTGTTTTAGATCATATTTATTAATTATAAGCATCATCTTAAATAACCTGCCCTTAAATAAATATCATTAATTTGTACTGTGATTTAGTTTTTTTTGTTACAGGGCAAGATGTCTGATCTGATGTAACGTGATTCTTATGTTTGTAAAATTAATTTGTATTGCCACTTGATATATGTACTGCAAAAGGTCTTGATATGCATATGCTGTTCACCGGCCAAGAGATATAATGATATCCAAACAATTATTTTTCCGTTTATTAATTAAATTTGCAAACGGATGTCTGTTCAGTGTTCATCTTGCAACAGTAGATCGTTAAAATTTGATACTGCAGATCCATTTTTTGACTATAATTTTTTGTAAAGAATAGATCATCATTAATGGTAACTAGTTCAAATAATTTTCTGCTATTTTAAGTTTGAATCTTGCATATGAGGAAAATTGTTGGTTCACCATTCACTTGTTTGATTAGATGATAACAAATCCTTTTGTTACGTTTTTTTCCCCCGGACTTGAAGAAAATCTTGAAGACACAAGACAATTAAATTAATAGTTTGCAAGAGATGAAGACTTAGGACATGTTTGGTTTCGGTTCTTAAAAATAGTTTTTTTAACAAAAACATTTAAAAACTTTGTTTGGATAAGTATTTTTGAATCTAATTTTTTTAAAAAACTATTCTCATTTTCTTTAAAACAGAAAGTAGAAACAAGTTAAATTTATTTTCATTTTATTTTTCTTGCTTATTACATTTGCTTATTAAAAAGTATATAGTTATCTTAACTAATTATTATCATAAGCGATCACTATTAATGGCTAGTAACTATCATTATTGGTCGATTTTCAAATTATAAAATTGTTTTTAAATTAATATAACCAAACATTAATTTTTTGTTTTGAAGAGAAATATTAAAAAACGTATTGCAAAATAATTTTAAAAACAAAAAATAATCAAGAACAAAAACAAATAGGCCATATGTTTCTGGCTTCTGGTAGTCCTTTACCATGATATCCAGCAGATAGCACACTATGTAGTGTGTCTTCCTTAATTCCCTCTTTGTCATCTCTACTTAGCGTGCTATCTGTTGTATGTGTGTCAAAAATGTGTGTGTGTCAAAGTCCCACATTGATTAAAAGAAGAAATCTCCTAGTGCATATATAATAAGGAATAAAGTGGGCTAATAAAATGGGCTTGAAGGAAAAGTGGCCTCACACACATGAAACAGGCCAACTCAGGGCAATTGTAGTTGAAATCAGCCAATTTGCCCCCCATGCACGTGAGTTCAAGAGGCAATGAATTCCTTTTATCGAGTTATTTTTACAAAAATAATTAAATAAATAATTATTTTTAGCTTACCTAAAAACCTCTGATTTTACTGTTTTAAATTTGAACTTGAAGCCTTAGCAGTTTTTTAGCATTAACCTCTTCTGAAAACTGAAGCTTTAATTTGGTGATTATGAGCCAACATTCATGTCTCCTTCCTTAGGCTATATATAGCCATAGGTGCGGACAGAACAGGGAACCAGCCTCTTAAGATTTCGGGGCAATTCTCTCCTCCCTTTGCCTTCTGTTCGTCTGTTCATCTGTGTGTACTTTTAGTCTTTGTTGTTCTGTTCTCTTGCTCCGCCGCAGGAAGTGCTTGTTTAATCCTGGGGAACTGTCGGTCCATCATCCCGGTGTGTTGGAATAGTTCTTACAGACAGTGTCTTTTCGGGCACGACTCAAGTAGTCTAAAGTTCGCTGTTCCCATCTGTCGTTGATGCTGCCAATAATTTTAAGAACTATCCAACCCAATGGTGACCAACAATATTGAGAATGTCACTCCCAAAAGTGTGCCCAGTGGTTCGGCTAGAGGTTAGTACGTCCCTGCCGCTGTTGCTATCTCCCTACCAAGGCCATTCCTAAACATATCAAAGATAGAAGTCTTTGACGGTAGGAACTTTAAACGGTGGCAGGAACGAGTCTTCACCATTCTTGACATGCATGGTGTAGCTACTGCTCTTGCTCAATCCAAGCCTTCTGCTAATACTAATTAGGCCCAGAGAGTTACATGGACTCATGCAAACAAGGTATGCCGACACATTATCATTAGCACTTTATCTAATGATTTGTTCGATGTCTACTGTGTCTATAAAGAAGCTTGTAAGATATAGGAGTCCTTAGTGACAAAGTACACTGCTGAGGATGTTGGCAAACAAAAGTTCATTGTGGGCAACTACTACAAATGGGAGATCATCGAGAACAAGGATGTGAAGGAGAAAATCAACAAATATCATAAGCTATTGGAGGAGCTTCACGTTAAAAACACCAACCTTTTAGATGAGTTCATTGTTGGGATCCTGATTGAGAAGCTGCCAGAATGTTGGTCTGATTACAAATAGCAACTGAAACACAAACAGAATCAGCTGTCCTTGACTGTCCTAATCACTCATATCATCATTGAAGACACCAATTGCAAGGCAATACGTGCAGCTTGAACTAAAAAAATGACATCCAAAGCCAACCTGGTGGAGATAAAGCCTCACAACAAGAGGTATGATTCTAAACCTAAAGATAAGAAGAATAGGAAATTTGATTACAAACCCAATGCTTCTAACCCCTCTTTTAAGAAGAAAGGAGACTGTTTTGTCTATGGTAAACCAGGACACTATGTAGCACAGTGTAGGAAGAGAACAAACTGTGATAAGCCTCAAAAGCCAAATGTAAATTTGGTACAACGAGATGGTGATAGTGATGATGACATCATTGCTGTAGTGGTGTCACAAGCTCTCTTGATTTTTGATGTGAAGAAATGGGTGGTAGACTCCAGGGCTACCAAGCACATATTTGCTAGCCAAGAGATATTTACCTCTTATAATCCTATAAAGGAAAGGGAAGACCATGTTTACCTTCCCGTTCCCGAACTGCCAAAGTTCAAGGAAAAGGAAAAGTGGTCTTACAGCTCATATCAGGGAAGACTTTGGCTCTGAATGATGTTCTGCATGTGCCTAAAGTTAGAGCAAACTTAGTGTCAGTTGCTCTTTTAGGGAAAGCTGGAGTTAAAGTGTCATTTAAATCTGACAAGATTGTAATGACAAAAAATAATATGTTTGTGGGAAAAAGGTATTGTAATCAGAGACTATTTGTTTTGAATATTGATGAAATGAATAAGACTGAATCTTCTAAGTATATGCCTACTTATATGGTTGATTCCTTTGATCTATGACATGCTAGGCTAGGTCATGCTAGTAAAGGTTATATAAATAGGATGCGACAACTTGGATTACTTTTTGAAATTAAAAACAATGATTTTGGAAAATGTGAAGTATGTATAGAAACTAAACAAAGTAAAAAACCTCATTTTTTTAATCAAAGAGAATCTGAATTACTATATTTAATTCACACAGATTTAGGTAATTTAAAACAAACCATGACTAGAGGTGGTAAAAAATATTATATCACTTTTATTGATGATTTTTCAAGATATACTAAGGTATACTTGTTAAGAAACAAAGATGAAACTTGTGAAAAATTTCTTTTATATAAAGCAGAGGTTGAAAATCAGTTAAACAAAAGAATTAAAAGGGTTAGATCTGATAAAGGTGGAGAATATGTTTTATTAAATGATTTTTGTGAAAAAGAGGGAATTATACATGAAATAACACCTCCTTCTTCTCCCGAGTCTAATGGTGTTGCAAAAAGAAAAAATAGAATATTAAAAACGATGAATGCTTTGCTTGTAAATTCTTCTGCACCTGATAACTTGTGGGGTAAAGCTATTTTATCTACATGTTTTTTACAAAATAGGATACCTCATGAGAAAACAAAGAAAACACCTTATGAGTTATGGAAAGGGTTTACCCTAAATTTAAAATATTTAAAAGTGTGAGGGTGTCTTGCAAAAGTTTTATTACCTAACCCTAAAAAGAGAAAAATTGGTTCTAAAACTTCTAATTATATGTTTATTAGGTATGCTGAACAAAGTGTAACATATCATTTTTCAGTTTCAAAAAGTGATATTTTGGACCAAAACACAATTGTAGAGACTAAGGATGCTGAATTTTTTGAACATATTTTTCCCTTGAAAATTAAGCATGTTTCTAAATCTGTTGAGAATTTAGAGTTTGAATAAAATTTAAATGAGGATTTGGTTTTAAGGAGAAGTAAAAGGCAAAGGAAAGAAACAAGTTTTAGAGATGATTTTTACACTTATTTAGTACAAGATGAACTGTTAAATTTTTATGAAGCTATTTCTTCTCCTGATGCCAAATTTTAGAAAGAGGCAATAGAAATTGAAATTGATTCTTTAAGGAAAAATAAAACTTGAGTTTTAGCAAATTTGCCCCAAGGAGCTAAAGCTATTGGGTGTAAATGGATTTTTAAGAAAAAATATTTTTCAGATGGTTCAATTGATAAATATAAAGCAAGGCTTGTGGTCAAGGGTTTTACTCAAAAAGAAAATATAGATTATTTTGACACATTTTCTCCTGTGACTAGAATCTCTTCTATAAGAGTTCTTATTGCTTTGGCTTCAGTTTACGTACTTTTTGTTTACCAAATGGATGTTAAAACTACTTTTTTAAATGGTGATTTGGAAGAAGAAATTTACATGGTATAGCCTGAGGGATATGTGATTCCTGGGCAAGAAAATAAAATTTATAAACTTGTCAAGTCTTTGTATGGCTTAAAACAAGCGCCTAAGCAATTGCATGAGAAACTTGATCAAGTTTTGACAACTGGTGGATTTTTTACTGTTGAAGTAGAAAGATGTGTTTATATAAAACTAGTGAATAATTATTGTGTGATTATATGCTTGTATGTGGGTGACATGCTAATTTTTGCCTCTGGTATGTATGTTGCAATTGAAACAAAAAATTTTCTTTCTTCAAATTTTGACATGAAAGATATGGGTGAAGCCAAGGTAATCTTGGGTGTAAAAATTATAAGGAATGAAAATGGAATCTTGCTTTCCCAAGAACATTATGTTGAGAAAATTCTCAGAAAGTTTGGACATCTTAAAGATGCTCCTCTGAGTACTCCTTATGATTCGAGTGTGCAATCAAAAAAGCACAAGGGTGACCTAATTGCTCAATCTGTAATTGATGAACTTTACTAGGCCTAATATAGCTTATGCTGTTGGTAGATTGAGCAGATATACCTACTATCCAAGTAGTAAACATTAAGAGGCTCTGGGGAGAGTCTTGAAATATTTAAGAGGTATCATGAATTATGGTACATTGTATAGTGGATTTCCCATTATATTAGAAGGATACAGTGATGCTAACTGGATTTCAGATTCAGAATAGACAAAATCCACTAGTGGTTATATATTCACTCTTAATAGTGGT